TGGAAGAAGAATGCTCTGAGGAATAGCCACTTTATACCTGCATCTTAAGCGTTTTAGCAGAAGCTGTGAAATGATGGTAATTAAATGGTCCCCAGATGATAGTGACCGTGGAGGAATTATTTTTGGTTTGTAGGATTAAATCTGCAATGACACTTGGGTTTTGGATCTCAGAGGATGTTAATTATTAGAAAAATTGTATCTGATAAAATAGAAAGCTACTTGTTAGGTCCAAAGTTATTAAGTTGTGAACTTACTAGTTTCAAAATATTTGATTGGTAAAATATGGCATATGTATATATATGCACATATATACATATACATATATATGTATACACACACACACACACACACACACACGTATAGTTGGCAGTTATCTCAGAGTGTTGCATGGTTCACATGGTATGCATGGTAAGAGCAGCAATACGTGAAATCCAGCTGAGCTTTATATCCTTCCATACTGTAACCAAACAAGTCAGTGCATAAACCTTTTCTGTGTTGTTGTCCGGGATATATGTTCTACCTAATACTCTTCCCAGCAAGCCTCGTATTCTTTCATGGTGGCCCTTCCCTTTGGGTAATGGTCCAGACTCCCAGTTTACAAAGGGATTTGCTCATTCCTGTTGTGCGTGGTTATTGCCTTCTTTTTTGCAGGATGGTAAGGTCATACAATTTTGGATTCTCAAGATTTATTCCACCTCTGTAGAATAAGTCGTGCTTGCCAGAGCTGGGATTAGAGCCTTTTTCTCCAAGCGTCTGCTGCTGCTTCAGAGTGTCTTATTGTCTAGTAGAGAGAGAGAGGTCTCATATTGTCACTGATGTGACGCATACTGCTGCTTAATGCTAGAAGGGTTAACACTTTAGTTTAAACATTACTGTTTTGTGTTCTACACTAAGCACATGAATTTAGTTGCCACCTACCCTTAGCTGAGTTACACATGTTCTGACTTTTCAGAAGATCAGATTTTCATACTTATACAAGAGCTTGTGGAACAGTGACTGTGTTCTGTATTAACAATCACTCAAAAATACCATTAATTTATCTCTATATGAAATAGGGATGGTCTAGCCACAAGAGTCTCACTCCTGCCGGGTATATGATGCATGCTGGCTTAAGGGCAGTCTAGGTGGTGTGATTTTTGGCCACACAAGGATTTTGATAAATCTCATAAGGTCAGTCTGTTCTATGGAGTCAGGTGTAGGTTAGCTGCAATTAATTTCTCAACAGTAAAGTGAGGGTCTTTCTTTTCCCTTAGAGCACAATAACAGAAAACTTAATATCCAAAAACGCTTTTGCTTTCAAAACTTGCCAGCGTTAAAAAAGCGCTGATGCAATGCACATCTAAACGTAATTTTAGCCGTGTTAAAATGCAGCATGCTCTTGAGTGATGAAGTGACTAATAATTTATTCATTATTTAATTTAACCTCATGTAGCATTATTCTGAATTAACTTGCTTGGACAAGACTATGTCTTAAAGATAATGATTAAATCTTGATTCATATTTCTCATGATGGCACACTCATGGAACTATAGTATGTTGCTTGGATAATAACTACCTTTGTTGTTAACAATTGCCCTTCACTTATAATCTAACTTTGTGCAGGGTTAACTTCCAGCATGGGCTCTTGTAAGTTATGCCATAATCATTTGTAATGACATTTTCTTTTTCTTGTTTAGATATTTACAAATTGCAGTAATGTAACGCCTTCAGCCTATCTGGCTTCAAAAAGAGTAACTAAATTCTGGGTATTCTTCACTAGAGAACATGTTTTTCAATGTCATTTTGTTGTTTCTCTGTAATTTATCATCTTCCTTCTTGAAGAGTGGTTACCAGATTCAGGTAACACAAAGGCAAATTAACTTTTTTACTCTGTTGTAGTTTCCCTGGGTTTTTATAAAGAAGTGCTTTATCTTTATAGATGCAGCTTCCCACTGAAAGCTTTTTCTCTATTATTTCCAGGCCCTCTTCAGAGCTACTGCTGTTGCATCTTGAATAGATGGCTAATGTTCATTATTTTAAATGTATATCTTTATGCTTTTTATCATGAAGTTAGCCAGTGATCGAGGCTGTTTCCATTATTAACCAGCTGCTTTTGCATTATTTCCTACATGCCATCTGAATTACGATTTGTCTTCTTCCATGACTTCATTATAAAAAAATTATGTAGGATGAAGAAGTGAGCTGTATCGGGTTCCTCTAGAAGCACTTCAGTTCAAGGAAGATTATCATTACCTTTTTACTATTGCATACTGAGACTAGTCATTTAAAATATTTTAATTCATTTAATCTGTTGCATGTTGTTTTTTTCTTTGTATTCCAGTTTTGTTATCAAATGTCCTGTATTGTCAAATCAAATGTCTCATAGAAGCCTGTTTCATCAAAACTAATACTTTTATCAGCTAAACTTCTAATATCATCTCAAAAGCCATCAAGTTAATTTGATAAGGTTGTCTATGAATTACAGTTGATGAGCATTATTATATTACAGCCTTTTAAACTTGTGTTAATCAAGGTTTGTTTTAACTGTTCTGTTATATATAACCCAAGTAGATGTCAGGCTGAGAGATCATTTAATCTTTCAAAATACTGACACACCATCAAATTGAATTACACAAAGAAAGAGTCCTGTTTTGCATACCGAAGAAAGAAGTTCAAACGTTTGTTGAGCCCTATGGGATCTGTTAATTCCTGCTTGGTTTCTGCTATAGCACACAATTACTGTCCTCGCCAAGAGAGGTGGATGTTGATGTTATTCCTATATGTTTTGTTTCATGTTTTGCAAAACTCTGGAGGGGGGGAAGACTATTGAAAAGTAAGAAGTCATTGAATGTGCACTGAGTTTGAAAAGAAAGCTGTGGCTTTCTTTGTTCTTGCGTTTAGGCTGAATCTAGACTTGAGAAATGGCTCTGACTTTACAGCGCTGCCAAACATTTTGGCACCCAGAGTATTGTAGAACAAGTAGAGTTTTACAGTGAAGTGAATTAGCACAATTGCAGCAAACTCAGTTTTTCTGCAGCAGTGAAAACATTCCACGGTAGAACAGTGTGCAATTATGTGAAATGATGGCAATATAACTGACTTTTAATGTCCTGAATGCAAACGTCAAAAACCACACAGGGACTGTGTGGTACCACACAGGGACCTGGTGTGTGGTGCTTATCAATCATGCATTAAAACTCCATATTATGATGCGTTGTCATAAGAAAATACGACAATACTTAATAGGAAACATAGAGTTTATTGTTTGTTCCGCATACATGTGGCTAGCAGTTTATTTTTGCTAATTTCACTTTTGAATGCTGTAATTAGTGCTTTATAGTTAACAACGCTGCTGGTTGAAGTTTCAGCTCTGTTGTTTCAGGCTATTTGGTGACTCAGGCAAATACCAGTCCATCTGTGTGAAGTCTGAAAGTCGTCTTTGCATTTGGTAATAAAGAAAAAATACAGGAGAAAAAAGAAAACTATCTTTTAACGATAGCTACCAGTTTGAGAATAAGAGCAGGTAATGCAGCTGTCTAAATCCACTCCTAGTGACTGATATATGAGCTTTATTTCAGATATGTCAAAGCTGTTCTGTATTTTGAATGATTCTTTATGAATGGACTGATTAGCTCTCAAGTATTTGCATTAAAAAAATTATTGCTGTTTTACAGAACAGATGCCATAGAAATATTTTCTAATTTTTCTGTGAATTCTTTTTGTTCTTTCACTTCCTCTCTGTTACTTCAAAAATGTATTTTAAAGCACAACAGTTATCTTTAGAAACACATGCCTTAACCCCCCAGCCTACCCCCCTAGTAGTACTCCAGAGTCTACTTGGTTATTTGAAATTGACTCTAGTGAGAACATTGCACAAAAGCAAAATCAGTGCCACTTACCAGGCTGGTAAGGTAGTTTACCCTGTAACTTGTATCCTGAAGACTAATATGAATTAATTGCAACTTTTAAAAAATATTAAACTGTGGCAAAGATCAATAATATGTTTCAGACATCCATACCACTGTTTGGTAGCAATTAGTAAAGGATAATAATAGTTGTTTTGAGGCAACTTCTGCACGTTCCATTCTTAACAGGTTCATGCAACTAAAGATTACCTTGTGCTAAGGTCTAATAAACTGTGTTAAGTACTCCTAAAATAGAAAGTAGCGTTCATGAAAAGTGAGATTCTCAGTTAGATAATGATATCATTTGTTTCATTAAACGAACACAGGAGAGACCACCGTCATTACGCTTTCTTGTCTAACATCATCATTATTCTTTCATGTTTCTATTTAAGAGTTGCTATAAGCCATGTCCTCATTTTGGATCTATTCTTTCTAGTGTCGTTTAAACATACAGTGAAAGAGGGCAGCTTCTTCCTTCAGTTACTACAGTCTAATGTAAATGCAAGCAAATGACTCATCAGTGAGTTCTAACTGTGCTGTGATCAGCATTTGCTTGCTAATTTATTTGAAATGCTGTGTTAGGTCCTCTTTAACCCGGATGTGGTGCTTGTGATAGGCTGAATTGTTTCTGAGCCTGTAAAAGTATATTCCACCAGAAAACAGTGTTCTGGGATTAGCTGATTAGAGCTATCATTACATTTTATAGGAGTTGTTTTCCCATCTTCCCTTCATCGTATTCCAGGCAGCACAAGATTGGAGCAGGTTGCTGCTCCTTTCTGCAGCGTGTGCCTGGCTTCTCAGGCCATGAGCCACAGGCATGGGAAGGGAGATGCTCCCCTGCCTCTTGCCCTGCTCTTGTGGCAGGATGCAGCCAGGGCATAGCCAGGGCCCTGGAAAGTGCTGATTGCTCTGTAGGATGGAGCCGCACTGCATCTAAAATTAAACAATACTCACCCAGACAATGCAGAGAGGACAAATCTCTGTTTTGTTGCGTTTTTGTTTTTTTGTTTTTTTGTTATCCAGCTCAAATGCAATTTTTAACCTAATTCTCTGAATGATTTTATTCCACTTGCAAAACTGGAGTATGTTTACTCTGTCTCCTATTTATTCTTTCAGGATTTGTGGATTTAACACTCCATGATCAGGTCCATCTACTGGAATGTGCCTGGTTAGAGATACTGATGATTGGCTTAGTCTGGCGCTCCATGGAACACCCAGGAAAGCTTTTATTTGCACCTAACCTATTACTGGACAGGTCAGTCTGCATATTGTTGCTAATTATTTAAGTTAATTTATTTCTACTGCAGCTAGAGTAATTTTTAGCTTTTAGACATCTCACCAATATTGCAGTTTGACAGGATATCAGAAGTTAAGCAGGATTGATCTAGCCTGGACTAGAAAAGGTTCTCTTAAACCTTAGACGTGCTCTAGAATGTGACTCGGGTAATTTGGAGGACAAGGAAAACTTTTGAAAATCACCTGCTGCTGGAAGTACTTTCTTTCAAAGGCAGCAGAGAGCTCCTATTATATGTTCAGTTTGTCGCAAAACTGAGAAGGATAAACTCCTGAACCCTAATCACTTTATTTCCGATAATTATTTCTGCTTGCCTAAATCCTCTCATGTAGTCTAAGGTAAAATTGGTTGATCCAAGCAGCTGGCCAAAATTACGGGACAAAATCCCAGTGGAGTCTAGGCGATAAACTTACTCATTTGCAAAGAAGACGTAAGGTTCTCTTTTCCCGAACACCACAGTCAAATGTGTAAAACTTACCTGTTTGCTATCCTAAGACTCTTCTACCCAGCCTTGCTTAGAAGCTATAGGTGTTTGTAAGTGAGAGACAGAAAAATATGTATGTGACATACAACAATATCTTGGATTTTAGCTGGCAGTCTTTTCACGAATAAAAGCAAGAAGATTGACAGGCTTTAAAAATGGCTTCTAGCTCTCTTAATGCATGCGCGAGTGCATTTTTTTTCCAGTCATGAAAAATTTCAGCCCTGAGGCAGAGTGTTAAAGGAGAATAAACAATGAGCTAGGGGATTGTCAAAAGACTGTGGCAAATCTAGTGACAAGTGGTAAAGATACAGTTATCCTAGCTACTGATAGCACCCTTCTGTTGAAGGCTGCCACCTGCATAGCAGAGTTGGCAGGAGGGAACTTGTGTGTGGACATGAGGCACTTCAGTGCAGAGTTGGGGATCTTGGTGTAAACTGAGGGTGAAGGAAGAGCTGAGCTAAGGCACTAGAACACGTGGTGAAGCAGCCAAGACCTGGGTGAGCACGCTGCTCTCTCGACCTTGCTTCTGCAGGGACAGGAATCCACAGCAGAGGTTGGGGACAAAGTCAGAGGTAATGCCTTCAACCCCTGTCACCATGTGCTAGGTTAAGGAAACAAAGCTCTTGTTAGCAGAAAAGCTGATTCTCTTCTACTGTTGGTGTTATCAACATTATAGTAAATAATAAAAGTTAGGCTTTTAAATTTATTTTAAATCTACTATCACTACTTTATTAAGCTCAAAAAATGTATGACAAAATATGTAACGGGTTGCTAATAATGTTCTATTCTTTTGTGCTTTGAGCAGCTTTGCTCTGTTAACTGCAGGAAACTGAGCTTTAGTATTTGTGTATGTGCAGTGCTAAACCTCTGTTTTTTGTTAAATCTATTTGCAAAAAGATGAAGATTACACTTTGTATTTTAATGAAATATGAATTATTATGCCTACGAGTATAATATGTAATATTTCATAGGAATAAAATGTAGAGGTATTTTTTGCCTTAGTAAAAACTCCGTTCTACCTGTGGAAGCACATGATCTGTGTGCTATGGAACAAGATATGGATAAAACACATTCTCATGTTGTGCAGTGAAAGTACCTGCTTGCCGAAATGTAGGTATGGCCTTCTTAGACTGGGCAAAAAGTCAAGAAAACACTATTGTTTTAAAATAATTTCTTAGTTCACTTGAGAAGCAAAATTTCCTGTTATTGGAAAGTAAAAACAGTATATTATTGAAAACTGCACTATAGATTGCAGTCTAGCTTCTAAAGACCCAACCATTCCACATTTTAGAATGCAGATTGTAAGAAAAATTTGAAAACTGAAGAGCAGAGGCAGAGTAACGTTTATCCTCCTGTTAGCTAAGAGAAAGAACTGGGGAAAAGATGCGAAACTTTGTGCAAAAGCATATTCTTTGTCAAATTTGAGAAGACAGCACAGAGCACGATTCAAAGGGTGTTTAAGTCAATGGAGTCCTTCCACTGAATCAAGTACCTGGACAAATATTGCAAGAAGAATACAAAAGTTGTTTAACACATTACTGTTGTTGATTTAAATCATCACATTTAATGGTTAAAATAATGGAAAAGATGGACACACTAGCACAATTTTCTTTCGTCTGTGCTTCTGCCCTTAACTTTCAGTGTGCTTGTTACAGGGTACTCCTTTTCACTGTTTTCGTCTTCCTGTGAGGATCCACAGCATTTTGTCCTGAATCGCCATCTCTCTTTTCCTGTTACCTGATGTATGGGGTTAACAGCATTTGCAAATGTAAATTTAACTGCTGTATCTAATCCACACTCACCAACTGCAGACACTGAACCTGTGTTTTTCTGGAGTTCAGCTCAAGTTCAGTGTCATTAATAGGGAGCTCTTTGCCACCCTCTGCCTACGCTCTACCTCTTTCTGATCATTCCTTGCCAGACATCACCTCTAATTTGTACATCTCTCTCATTTGTCAGGTTCAGGCTTATCTACATCTGACGGATTCTTTCTGTCTAGAGTCTCAAAGATATAGTCTTTGGTATCCATCCGCATATAATGCTCAGGTCATTTCAAGTTTCATTAGAACAACTTCATTTCCTCTTGGCTAGAAAAATATAATCTTACCTTGTTCATATCTCTCTGAAAAGCATTTAAAATAATGTTCCTACTTTGCCATTTTTTGAGCAACTCTGATTTTTGTTCTCCCAAGTTTACGCCTCCTGTTGTGTCATATTCAACGTCAGCTAGTCTTCTCTTTGAAGATCTTTTAGACACTCTCTTCCCATTCTGTGAGAGTCTGTTTGTTAAGTTTTCAGATAAATACCTCTGTGAATTTCCCGTGTAACTATTCACACCTGAAAGACTCCTTGGAAGTATCTGCAAAACAGCCCTTCGTGACTCACTTCAGATTCCTTCTTGAAACTTTGCTTTGTCTATAAAAAGCTACTCAACAATTAAGCTGCCAATATGCCGATAGGCTGGACTGCCGATTGTTTGGATGAATATCCCTCATTATCCCTTTCTATTCCCACTCTACCTTGTAATTAGATAGGGTGTTCTGTGGGGTAATGCACATTTTCTTATTCTGTTAATGCAGTACCTAAGCACTCAAGTCTTGGTTCAAGATCAGGACCTTTAGCGGTCTGTCCATCACATATAACTAGTTCGTGTTACAGTGTACAATTGATGCTATTAAAAAGCTCAACTGACGATAATTATAGATTAGGAAAAATAGGCCCAATCAGTAAAGACAAAAACTCACAGAGCTTACAATTAATGTGCAGTACCTGATACAGTAAAAAAAAAAAACCCAAACCATAAATGCAATACTTTTCATTTCCAAAAACAGCATATAATATATTTTATGAGGCAAATCTAGAAGTAAAGGCGTAGGTTTCCAGTGGGATGAACCAGATGTTTCCTGTCTGGAGGGCTCCCAAGAAACTAGACCTTAAAAATGTCATTAGACCAGAACTGAAATTTTTCAGGACTGACAATAAGCTGTTTATAATTTTGAGGAAAATGTAACGTTTCTTCAGGAATAAGAAAGAGATATATTTCATCATTTTTTTAAAAATTGGTTCTTACATTGAAATCTGATCTGAGGTTACTTAAAGGTTTGGAGTGTCACTCTAAAGCGTCTTACGAATCAGATAGTATTCACACGAGTATGGTAAAGAAACTCATAGCTGAAATAGTTGAATTGCTAACCGGTGTGGATGACTTCTCATCTGAAAACAGCCTCAGTACCAGCATAACGGGAAATGCAGTGCTGCTTCTTAAAAAAGGTTGGTGAAACTTCAGACAGATAAGCCAGATGTTCATTCTAGGAAAAATGATAGAATGTAGTGTAACGAAGAGAATTAGTAGATTCATGGCTAAATATGATGTAGAGGTAAAATATCACCACATGTTTTGTAAAGGGAAGTCATGTGTCCAAAATATATAGGAAATCTCTGAAGAAATTAACAAGCAAGTGGACAAGGAAAATCTTGTTTGCTTTCCAAAAGTATTAAACAAGATCAGTAATAAAAGGTTCTTAAAGAAACTAAGGTACCATAGGATAAGAGAGAAGGTCATCAGCTAGATAAGTAAATTGTTAAAGGAAAAGAGAGGAGTAAGTGGTCAGTTTTCTCAGGTAAATCATATCTGGAATACATATAGTGACCTACACTATTCAACCAATATATATGTGATCTGGAAAAAGCTATGTAAATTGAATAAAGTTTGCTGATGACTGTAAATTATCAAATTAATAAAGGTGAGAACTGCAAAAAGACCTTCACAGTATTGAATGACTAGGCAAAAAAAAAAAAAAAAAAGAGAAATTATTTTGTGCAGACAAATAGAAACTGGTACATGTACGAAGAGAGTAATCCTAACATTCATTAACTGGATCGTGAGCTGATTGTTCCACCCAGACCAAGATCTCACTGCTAAAGCAATCAGTTCTGTGAAGTCAGCAATTCATTCCTCACTAGGAGTTTGAAAGTAAACAGTCTGTACCTCCCCTCTCAGAAATCATTATGACAGGAAAAAGAAATAATGCAGAACATCATTATACCATTGTGTAAATCCATGTTGCATCACTGCTTTGAAAACTGTGCCCTTCTGATTTTTCCCACTTTTAACAGGAATATTGTAAAACTGGGAAGGATACCCAGAAGGGTGACATAGAGGATCAAAGACAAAGATGAGCTTCCGTACAAAGAATAACTTTTTAGACTGCCTGTTCTGCCTGTGAAGCTAAATGGGGGAAGGAGAATGGAATAGAGCTGATGATAGGAATTCTATAAAGTCGTGAGCACATTGAGATCTATGGTAATCCACTATTTATATCTCTTCTGATCTAGAATTAGAGATAATCACATGAAATTAGCAGATGTAATTTCAAAGCAAACAAATGATGTTTCTTAATACAGGAGACCCAGTATTAAGCAAAGGCCTATGTTTTGTCCAAGGTGAGAAAAACCATTGCCAGTATGGTTCTTCTGT